GGAGGGGAAGAAAAACTCTATTTTTGTAAAAAGGGGAAAAAGACCTCGTGGAGAATTTTTACTGGGGATTCTTGAACTTGAAAAAAAAAACACAAAAAAAGACAAAAAAAAGAAAATATTTTGACAGGCTATGTTTACCAACTGGGGCAAAGACGGGAAGCAGGGCTTAGGGGCTGGGGGACCATGGGGCCACGCAGAGACACACATGCCCCACAGGAACACACAGCAGCACTAACAGACCCAAAGACACGACCCAGACACGTTTAGGAACTGGCCAAACTCAGACACATAGACAAACACATGGCTAAAACACAAAAGGCTGAAGTATGGAGCCATGTAAACGTGGCAGTGATGGAACACAGACGTGGACAAACGTAGTCACAAGCAGATGTGGACATAGGTGAATGTCCACTGGCACATGTGGACATGCAAATATTTTCATACGTGCACATGGATACATGGAAGTGGAGGCATACATTTGGAGACACAAATTCAGTTACAGAGAAACAGACAACACCCAGGAACACACAGACATGCCCATAGTACCCCTCAGGCCCAGGCAAGAGGGCCCAGTCTGATTCCTTTAGCCAGGCCAGCCCAACCCCCTCCCGGCACTCAGCCCCACTCACCCTGCCCCGGGTTCTCTGCAGAGCTCTCTTCTGGCTCATCAGTGGTCCATGCCGCCCATGAACACAGGCGTGCACACAGCGCCCTGCATCCAGACACACGATACCTCGTTCACTTTCGGCATCATGGTGGGCTGGAGGCAGCACCCCCCAATACTTGAGGCCAAAGGACCCCTTGTCCCTGGGGCTGAGCCTCCCCTGGGCCCAGGCCCTGAGTGTCCCCCCACCTGGAGCCTCCCTACCAGGCCCAGGGTGGACGGCCCAGGGGCCCAGACCCACTTTTCCTTCCCATCCACTCGTCATCCCTTTTAGTTTGTTGGGTTTTTCCATCCTTCCAGATGAGTGAGGGCAGCGGACACAGCTCCTATCCCAAGCCCCAGCCCTGGCTTCTGTCTGGACTTTCCATCCCCCCTAGGTTTCATTCTTTGTAACGAAAAATTCCAACAGAAGACAAAGGCGGGAGCCCCTGGGAGGCCTTGCAGCCCCCACCCCCACAGGGGGCCCAGTCAGAACTGAAAATTGCAAACCCCGATTTTAGATTCAGTTGACCTTCCTCCGGTGTCCCTGCTTTGGTGTCTGGCCATGGCCCCATCTGACTGCCCAGCTCTCTCTCCCCCACCCTCCCTGGTGTTTGTTATTATACGTCTGTGGAGCTTCTGCTGCAAGGAACAAAAAGAAAAAAATCAAAAAAGCAACAAAAAAACACAAACAGAAGAGAAAAAAATGACAAAAAAAAGGAAGAAAAAAAACACACAGAAGAGATTTAAAAAAAAAAAAAAAGGAAAAAAAAAAAGACATAAACTGGCACCAGTTAACTTTCTTGTACTTTTTTGCCGAATTTAGCTTCTTGTAGTTTTAACTTATTGCTATGTTAACTATTTATTCTTGTTGCCCTGTAAGGACATTTGTGTATATTTCTGTTCCTTCATCCAGTTTGCAAGTTTAAAGGAACCACGATGTTCTCTTTGTTTCTTTAAGTTTTGCTAAGACGTGGTTATGCCTAATTTATTTATAAAAGGGGAAGTGGAATCATTAAAGTAATAATTATTAATAACAATAACGGTAGCCGAGTGGCAGCGGTGGGGCATGTGAGCTCTTCGGGGCAGTCCCCTACCTGGCCAGCGACGTCTGATCTCAGTGGGATTATTTTTGCTTGTCTTGAGAATTTTTTCAGTCCTATTTAGCTGGTGAAAACCCTAGCTTGTTCTTGATACACAAACCTATTTATTCTTGTGGTTTTTAAGTCCTCCTGATCTCCCTGCTCCCCTCCAGCAGGGCAGGCCCCCCAGTGGGTCTCTCCCTCTCCGTTTCTTGGGGCTTTCTCCCCTCTGCCCTCCTTGCACGCGGGGACACGTGTGCACACGTGGGCAGCGTGCCGGGGGCATCTGTGAGCAATAAGGGCTGGGTTTGTCCCCCACCCTGGGGGGGCTGGGTTCTGGAGAGGGCACCTCCCCCCCACACCCCCACTGAGGCCTAGGCCCCTGCTACCCCCAAGACTGGGAGGGCACTTCTTTTTCTAAAACAGAACTCAGCCCAGCCAGCCAGGCCCCCTATCAGGAGGCCAGCCCAGGGGAGGGGGCCTGGGGTCTTCCATGTCCCTGGGGGGCAGGGGCAGAGCCCTTGGGGAGGGGGCTCAGGCCCTCAAGCCCTCCCTTCATCCTGTTATTTATTCGGAAGGTTTCACATCACGACAGAGTCCATATGTTGGAGATGAGAAAGAACTGCAAAAAAACAAACAAAAAACAAGAACACTTTGCGTTGCGTTTAGACTATTTATTACCGGATTACAGGCCTGGCCGCGGTAACAGACTTTTACATGGAATTGTTTAATTATTTGTACTTTTCATGCCAGAAAATAAAAGTTCAGAATCTTACAATCTTGATCGGGTGTCTGTGCACTGGTGGGTGGGGAGCGTTGGAGTGTGTGCTGTTGGCCCTGGCTGCATAGCCTTGCTCAAGCCACTGTCCCTCTCCAGGCCTGGGTTTCATCTCAAGCTCCTTGGCCTACCCACAACACAGATGAGACTGGTGGGTGTGAGATCGACCCAGGGCGAAACCCAGATGGACATGGCCCATGGTCCATCTGTCCCTTGGTGCCTGACTTTCCTGTCTGTGGGCATCTCAGGTGTTAGTCATCTCACATGTGACTCAGGCTGTGAAAAGGCCTCACCTGTGGAGCCAGCCTGAGGGCGCAGAAGGCAAGCCCAGGATCTGCAGACAGCTGTGGCCCCTGCCTTCTGCCCTATGCTCCCCCCTGGCACAAGCAAAACAAGGCAGACACAGATGGGTTGGGAATATCATTTATTGTTTCAAGGTCACAGTCAATTCACTGTCCCTGCCAGCAGGGGAGGCAGATGCCCTGGGCAGGGGGGGGCTTGGCAGTGAGCCACCAGGCTGGGGGCCTGGGGAGGATGCACTCCTTTAGTCCATCTTTGGGGACCACTGAGGCCTGAGCAAATGGCTCTGCTCAACCTGGCCCCCTAAGAGCAGGGCAGGGGGCCCCTCACAGTTCTTGCCTGTGGGGAGGTCAAGGAGACTCAGAGGGGCAGGCCTTCATCCACAGAATGTGGGGTGGGTAGGCAGCACCACTGGGGGCTGGTTCCATGCCTTGAGGTTCTGGGGCCAGAGAAAGACCCAACAAGAAAGAAAGACGATAGGACACAAGTGAGAAGTAGTGCCAACCTAGATCTGTTTTCCTTAGACTCTACTGTACCCCAAGTCCAGGCAGGCAGAGACCCACTTCCCTGCCCACCTCTTCTGGGGAGGGCTAGAGCTCATCATGGTCACTGTCTGCAGGGGGTTCGGAGGGTGGCTCTTGGCAGGCAGCAGGCGTCATCAGCTCCATGAGGTACTCGCAGCGACTGGGCTCCGTGGTGCTGGTCACCACTGTCTCCTTCCCACACAGCAGGCGCACCTAGGGAGGATGGGTGGGCAGGTGAGGGCTTAGGTAGGCTCAGTCAGGGCTGGGTCCCCCCTCACCACCCCCACC